TTGACATTTGTCTTGCCATGCATCAAGTGGAAGCTGTGGGTTGATCACTCAGTGCACACCAAATGTGCAGTATTGTCTGTCAAACTGTCCGTTACTATCCTCAGTACACATTAGGAACCTACATGTAGATATCACCATAACAACATCTATTTGTTTGAATTCTAGGTATTTTTCACACGGAATGGTAAAACTGTTGGTAGACGCGAAGTCAGGATACCACAAGGTGGTTTCTTTCCAACTCTTGGTATGCTTAGCTGTGATGAGAAAGTAAAAGTAGATCTGAAGCCCCTCACTGGTTGAACATGTAGTAGTCATATTGTGATATTCGACAGTCAATCATATTTTGTAGTTTACAATCACATTAGTCGTCCAGTTACATCAAGCTGTATACATTTAATATTATGCAAATTTGATTTTAGTTTTTTCAGATTTGTCCAATGTATTTTGTACTTTTAAAAGGTGACAAGGAAAGCATTGTTTGTAGATAATGCATGATGGACATTTACATGTAAATAAATCTCTCAGTTTAAGCTGCCATTTGCTTGAAAAGCACGAGTTTTTCGGCATTTTGGAAAAAAAAATCTATACATAGAGGGTATTATTTCAATTGATAGAACATTGCGTATTGAGGGTGGGCTCTTTATTTTAAGTATTGTAATGATTACAAACATTTATTTTTCTGGAGCTCCAGTTTTATTACACATGTATGGCTTCCATTTTTGTAAGTTTCATTGAATATTTCAGTATTTTCAATATTATTTTTCAGCAAATTTGATGCTTACTGTATCAGTATGCACTTGTCAACTCTAAGATTTAAATGTCATTATATTGTACATACATATGTAACGTAATAAGCCTAAACAATTCACACCCATATTTATATTTCAGATTTCTATTCATTAAATGTACTGTAGTAAATGCAGTGTGAGGTCGATTTTGGCAAATTTGTTATAATTTTATGGCAGAGGTACTGTTCCAAACGCATAATACTTTTATAATTGGATAGTAATCAAAATTTATCAATGTTTACCATAAACTAGAATATGGAACACATACCCTTAAAAATAGTTTAGAAACTGATAGTTATGGGATATTTATGTTTTTAGATTTGCTTCTTTCTCACTTATTCACCTTGCTTTGTGTCAAATTAATTTTTTTTTTAAACATTACAATAAAGCCAGCGATACTTTTTTTTTTAATCACTTTCATTTGACTTGCCTACAAATGTATGTAGTTGTGATTACTTTTTGATGAATAAACTGAACACTATTTTATTTCATGTTCTTGCATCCAGTCATACTGAAGTTACTGGCATATATTAATCAGTGTTGCTAAAATTTCTTGCAGTGTTATATCCAATTAGATAGATATATCCTGCTTATATTATGATACATGTAAAGTGGTTGCCATGAAAATACTGCTATGTATGAATCATATCAACCAATGCTTAGGCCAGGGCCAAAGCCATCCTATACTGCCTGGGTGCATATTTTACAATATGTGAATAACATTATTATTTATCTTTTTCAACAGTAATTGTGTAATAAATGTTCAAGGATGCTATTTGTGGCGCCAATAATAAGTCAATAACACTAAAATAAGGGTAAATTCAAACAAGTGCAGATATGGAATTCTGTTTTCAGTGCTACATGTATAGTAGTTATTGTTATATCCAGTCAAAATACGATGAACCAGTGTCTGCATATCCAGGCAAAATAAGATGAACCAATGTCTGCATTTGAATAAAATTCTACATGATTTCAACATTAATTTGAAAAAAAACAACATGTTTTTGGTTATTAGAGTTTAAACTATTTTAAAATAAATTGAAAAATAAAAATGTGCACATTCATTGTTTTTTGTTTTTTTAATATTAAAGAGCAAATGCTCAGTGTTTGTTTTAGAATAAGGGCACTGAACGGCTTGATTCATACAAGATTGCTAAAATGTCAACCCATCAATTGAGAAGTGTTTACATATCACACTAGATTGCTAAACTGTAAGGCCCTTGTCAATGGATTGGGTGTCTCTTAGGTAGTAGTTGATAAAGACGTTTTGCGTTCTCCAGAAGCCTGCCCTCGGTATATGTTCGAGCAGGGCGCCTGACGCTAGTGCTAGTGAGTTAGCAATCTCATGCGCTCGTACTTGGTGTCTGTGCAAGCTCTGTATCGAGAAAGTTAAAGAATTATAGACCTCTAATGCAGTTGCAGTAATTCATCTTGCGATGGAAGTCTAGGAGGCCTGCCTACATGTACCTGGGCCGTAATACAAAGACATGTGCTTGGTACCCTGTCTCGAATCCAGAGTAGCAACTCAGTGCTCAAACCGGGCAGAGAAACATGTCCTCCTGACAATGTCCCCAGTTCTGACCGACGCCTACCTGAGGCGAGAGCCAGTAGGAAGACTGTTTTTCACATCAAAATTTGAGTGTTGCTGATTGGAGAGGCTCAAAGGGCGGTCTGCTTAGAGCGGACAACACAACCGACAAATCCCAGTTGAGCGGTTCCCTTGTACGGGGTCTCGGCCTCTGATTATGGAAAGCAGTAGTCTCCTAATAATCGGACAATCGGCTAGTCTTGTTCCCAAAGCACTCTCAATGGTGGGGGACAAGGAAGACCTGTAGTCAACGATCGTTGCGTATGACAAACCCACTTCGTCAAACAGGTGGACGAAGGAGTCTGCTACCTGGCCAATAGAGGGATAGCATGGATCAATCTCCTTTCCGCCACACCAATCAGTGTATGCTCGCCACCTTGAATTATAGGCATCGTTGGTGGAATCCCTGTTCGCCCTGGCCAGGACGTTGGCAGCAAGCTCAGACAAGACTTTTGCCTGTGTGAGTCTACTGAGAGCCTCTATGCACGTAAGTGATACACCGCTGGGCTCGTTAGTAGTGCGCCGTCCGGTTGGGACAGCAGGTCTGGTAAGTCCGGAAGCACTACTGGTGTTTCGACTAGCATTTCCAACAGAAGTGGAAACTAAGCCTTGCTTGGCCAATTGGGTGCGACCAGTGTCAATATGCAGGTGTGGACCTGTCAAAGTTTTCTCCAGTACCCGGTGAACTAGCGGGAAGGGAGGAAAGGCGTACACTTCTATGTGGGTCCACGGGTCCCTGGAGTCGGCAGGAGTGTTACGTACCTTGGGAGCTTGGTGTTCCGGGGTGTGGCAAACAGGTCTATCTTTGGACCGTCCCAAAGCCAAAACAGCCTGGAGGCTACCCACTGGGGAATCTGCCACTCCATGTTCTGGAGATGGAGCTGCCTTGAAAGGGCGTCTGCCAGACTGTACCTCACGGTTAGCTCTACATTGTATTCCAGGCACCAAAGGAGAATTTGCTCTGCTAGGACTGACAATGATGGGAAACTCGTCCCCGCCTCCTGGTTGATGGAGACCACCCCTGTGTTGTCTGTGTGGAGCAGGACTCTGTGAACTACGGGTAGAAAGTGTGGTAGTGCTAAGTGCACTGCTTTCAGTTCGAGCCAGTTGATATTGCGGTCCCAGAACCAATGTGGGTGCCATATACCTTGGGCATGTTTGTCCAATAGATGCGTTCCCCAACATTGGAGGGAGGCATCTGTTACCAGAGTCATAGCTGCGGCGACTATTGTATTGGCACCTATAACCCCTCTACATGGGATTTGATTGAGATTACTACACAGATGTAGACATTTGAAGAATTTATCAGTCAAAGCATGATATGCACAACAGATGTACCTTTTCACTGACGGCAAATAGGGATTTAGCCCTGAAACAGGCCGAACCGGGAAGTAAATAGTACATTAACAAGTTTGGTATCAAAAGATAGGAAATTTTTTGTAGATTTACCAAAAAAAACCAAGAACTGATAACATGGGCATTTATTTTTACACAGGTAGAAGTAAGGGTTAGTGTTTTTCGTACATTTTAGATTTTTCTTACATTTATATTTTGTAATTAATATTACTCACAGCCTACACATTATTTCATATAGATATTGCTAGTGTTTTCTATACACTTTTTATTTAGATAAACTGAACAAACTATCCACCAGTTATAGAACAGAAATTTGCTGATGTCAGCATTTTTTTACAATTATTTTAACCTTGTCAAGTAGTCAACCAATCTTTTGTTTTACCAGATACCTATCGGTATAACAAAATATCTTTCCTTTATTTCTAAGCACCAGCATCTAGGAAATTAAGCACTGTTTGAACTTTTAATGACTCGTTTGTAATTTCCAGGGGTTTTCAAACACCCTGTTATTCCCAAAATATAGCTGAATCCTGTTACACAAGGAAGATTGTTATGGCAAGACTTATATAAACATTTTTCTATGATTACTTCTCTTTTTCCTTTCTGTATTAATTGCTCTGTTTAGAGTAATCATATTTTAATATAGTTAAAACAAGTCATTTGCAAGTCCTCATAATAAATTGCTCAGTTTGTAAAGTCAATGTGACTTTTGATTATCATCACGTGATTTCCTTATATGGCAACCAGACGAACCTTAAGTAGCACAAGATTATGTCGCAATTTCTTGAACACTTTCAGACTTTCTGAATGCAAACACTGACAACTTTTACCAAGATTTGAAGGCTTTTGTGCGTACTAAATGCGTCTTGTTTATGCTTGTTTAAAACGGCTGCACAACTTATTAAAGTGATATAAAATCGTCCAGCACAACTAGTCATTTATACCCAAACACTGAAGAAATGCAATGCACTGAGAAAGAAATTGAGTACCTTCCATCCACCCTGAAAGGTATGTTTGTTGGAAAAAACACTGATGTTAAGGTGGCATCCATAGGGCAGGCCATCAGGCAGTCAGTTCGCCCATGAGTTATAGTGACTCTACTACAAATAGGACTTGCTGTTCAAATGCATCGCCAGTTTGGCTCACGATATCTCATTGATTCTCTCCATAATCATGGGTTTTGTTCATCATATGCAGGGGTGCAGAAGTTTGAACGTAGTGCCACCTTGCACCAAAGAACTGACATTCCTGGTTATACACCCAGACATTTTATACAACATGTAGCTGATAATGTTGACCATAATGTCCGGACCATTGACGGGCTGAACATGTTTCATGGTATGGGCATAATAACGACCATAACACCAGGGATATTGTGGAACAATACCATACCTAAAGTTCATGTCACATCCAAGGATATAGTTTCTATTGCAAAAGTCAATATTAAATATTATAAGCAGTTATCAAAGGGCATGGCCAAATTAAAGTATGCCCAGTTACCCAGTTTGATAGCAAGTGATGATACATTGAATGTGGATCTTCTGTGGAAAATCTCTTGGTTGTTACATCCATCTAGACCATCTTGGAATGGCTTTATGCAAATGGTACATCAAGGTCCTCATCCTGGGGTCTCATCTATAATACAATCGATATGAAATCAACTAATGAATTATGTATCTTCTCAACTATGTGCTTCATCAGTGAACAAGCCAAGAAGTATGATGTAACACCAGTGCTCACCTTCGACCAGCCTTTGTGGTGGAAATTACTGGAAATCCAACAGAATGAGCCCACAAGTAGCAGTGTGAGGAATATTGTTCTCAGACTGGGTGGTCTGCATGTGCAAATGAGTTTTCTGGGTTGCATTGGACATTTGATGAGTGGATCTGGACTCGAGGAACTATTGGAGACAATTTATGCCGAGAATGCTGTTGGACATGTGTTGAGTGGCAAGGTCATTTCAATGGCTATTAACAGATATACCCGAACATGGCGATTCCAGTAATGCAAATCAGTCACAAACAGAAGATACAACAAATGAGTTGAAAGAAGCAGGGACCATCCTAGAGAGGCTGCTTGCACACGAGACAGAGATAGAGATAGAATCGGTTTGTTCAGAGGAAGTACTGACTCTTATACAGGAAAAAATCAACCAATTCAAGGAAACACTCGCCTTCCTTAGAACATCCAAGTCATGGCTACAGTACATAGAGATGATTGAAATACTCCAGCAGTTCATTAAAGCTGAAAGAACTGGTAACTGGTCTCTCCATCTAAAAGCTTTTTCAGACATGCTTCCATACTTTGCTGCATCTGGCCATAATCTTTATGCAAAGTCAGTGTACATATATCTTCAGATTATGTCAAAACTACCAGAAAGTAATGCTGATGTATTTCGATCATTCCTGAATGGATACCATGTGGTTAGGCGGACAGACTGGGCAGGTATATCGACTGATCTTGCAATTGAACAAGTGTTGATGTGGAGTATCAAAACAAGTGGGGGGGCTGACAAGGGGTAGAGGTATGTCAGAAATACAACGTACCGTTTGGCTACTATCAACATCTGTATGTGCAGAAGTCAATCGTGCAATGCAAGAGTTCACTGGTGTTTCTTACATCACAAGTGAGCAACACAAAGAGAGTACAAAGACCAGGCAAATTAGAAATCATAATGACCTGATGGAGTTGGTACAGTTTCTTCGTGGAAGAAACAACTCTTCTCTATGTAGTATAGCTACTGGAGTTGTTGCTGATGACACAGTAAATATTGATAATGCTAGGTCTATTGGTGCTGAAATAATAAAGTCTATGATTGGAAAAAGCGCAAGTGATTTTTCATTCACTAAAAAGAACAGGCTAAAACATTAGGTATGGAAACATCATTAAAGCTTGATGCAGATGAAGTACAAGTTGATCCCCAGTCGTTATTTCAAAGACTTGTTTCCATTGCAAGGGGAATTGTATCAACAGACGAGTTGTCCAGTCTTTTCACCTATGAGCTGTGTATTCATCCTACAGCATGGTTTGCCTCTGATGGACTGATTCGGGAAGCAAACAAGCCAGCTTTAGCCGAAGCAGTCTGGAAATGTGTTGGTCCCATTACTAGTGACATGTCCATTGAGGTTAAGTATGTTATTGATGGAGGTTCACTTTTACAGAGAATTCCATGGCCACGAGGACTAACATACAAGGGCATCTGCAAACTTTACCTTGATTACATTGACCACAAATATGGTAAAGACTCAACAGTTGTTTTTGATGGATATCCAGATAGACCACAACTCATCTTAGGCGTTCAATAGGGAAAATGTCTACTGGTGTTTACTTTGATTCTGACATGGTTATGAATAATGAAGAAACAACAGTTTCTTGCAAATGCAGCAAATAATCAGCGGTTTAATGAACTGAACTGGAAGTGAAGGAAATCAAGGTTTGAAATGCTGAAGAAGATGCAGATGTCCTTATAGTGATGACAGCTGTAGACTCTGCTCTCATAATGCACCAATGGTAGTTGTAGGTGAAGACACGAACTTGTTAGTGTTGTTGATCTACCATGTCAAATTAAATAGTCACAAACTGTATTTAAAACCAGAGGCACGGCGAAATACAATAAACGAAGTCAAAGTGTTGGACATAAAACATACCAAAGACAAACTAGGACCACTTGTTTGCAAAAACATATTATTTATACATGCTGTCTTGGGCTGTGACACCACATCCAGGATATATGGCTTAGGAAAAGGTCTGTCCTTGAAAATATTCCAAACCAACAAGCAGTTTCAATGTCATGCTTCAGTGTTTGACCAAGATGATGCTTCAAAAGAAGACATTGTGATTATGGAGTCAGGAGAAAAAGCTTTGGTCCTTTTATATGATGACAAGTCCGATGAAACATTGGATTCAGTCACAATGGGAAAATTTATTCAGAAAGTTGCTACAAGCGTTACATGTGTAGGGCCCGAGAATATTCCACCAACATCTGCAGGTTACCATAGTCAACGGGCATACCACCAGGTTCTGATGTGGAAAGGGCAAACTCATGTTAATCCAGAAGAATGGGGCTGGAAAGTGAAGAAGGGAAAATTGCTTGCTATCCAAACTGACAAGCCTCCTGCACCTGACAAATTACTAAAAGTTATCAGATGTAAATGTAAAGCAGACTGTCGAACACGTTGCACATGTGCTCTCCCATGTGTGATGAATGTAGAGGTGTAAGCTGTAGAAATTCACCCAATCTGGATCTTGATGATCAACTATAATATTATAAACTGTATCATTCTACCACAAACTTGATATAATCCATACCTCACAAGTCTTGCCAATCACTCTTTTGATATTACCACATCAAACCTTGATATGAGCCCCCTTCATTATGTGATCATCGCCACATTCCACATACTTGTAACTGTGAGGTGTCCTTCATATATAATACCATTGTATCACATCTTTACATGATACAATCACATATACTTTGATAAACATGATTCATTTGTATGTTTTTATGCAGATGTATAATTTGTGGGAGGTGCGAGTTATGGAGACCGACTGCAGCAAAGTATCATGTTGATTTGGCGAATGATGGATCTAAATATGCCCCAAATATTCCTGAAATGTTTAATAATGAAAATGATATATGAACAATAATCGCAGTTTTCCATATTGTGTAGAATTTATACTGACAAAATGCCAATGAAAACTAATACCAGACCCTGTATATTTCTGAAAATATCACCACTTGGTGGCGCTATTTGCTTCACCATGCAAAAAAAATGTTTGGCTGACTAAATATGATCAGTGTGATAAATATGTGGATATATTGACCATTATTATCTGGTATGCATTTGTATATGTACGTCTTACTGCATCAATAAAATTTCCATTACATGGGCAATATCAATACCTGAAAAAAATCAACTTTCCCTTTGTCCGATTTTGGTAGACTTGATATGTTGTTTATAGATGTCTATTGTTGCTAAATCTGCAAAGAAACTTTCTGTTGCAATTTTGTCCGGGATGACCAAAAAAATCAAATTAAATTGACTGGACTACTAGCTTTTAAAAGACATCGGCTTCACAAGGTCAACTGACTTCTGACGTCATGTATACGACATCATCATGCATGTTGAAGTGATCCGTTACAGATTTATATTTCATTCATTGTTTTTAAAATATTGTAGCTATACAGTAATACATTTCAATGGTAATTAGAGGTAATTGCATCTGCGGTAGGTAAAATCAGTGCTAAAAAAACAATCTTAAACATGCTCTTAAAAATTGACCAACTGTTTAGGTCTTGGGGTTGGGGTTTTTTTTGGTCATTCTCAATGACCTTAGCCAACGTTTGAAACAAAATTTGCTAATGTACTATTTTATTCCGGGTCAAACCCTAAATCCACTGGACTAAAAGGGACAAAGCAGTGTGCATTTATTTTGTGTTTTCAGCATGGTAAAAGTTGAACCCATAGCCGTGCAATTTCCAGTACATGTCACTTTAACCTTGTAAAATTACAAGATACAGGCCAGAAGTGTAGCAGTTATACTGGAAAATGCTCGACTACTCGCTTACTATACTTAGCCACGATACTTAGCCAGAATGTTTGTATCAGGTCTGAAAGAAAAACCTCAAGACCATAGATGGTAATTCCAAAGAATTTATCCGATTTTATCATATGTAAATGTACATTTAGGGAAAGAGCACACTCGATAATCGTGCTTGAATGTGAACTAAAATGGTACAAGTGTTGTTATTTTCAAATGAAATATGCTAAGCAACGGAGGTTAGGAATTGACCATTGTTCTTGAAATTTAGGCACATGGACTCAAGATCTGCACAATGACCAAATATTCTTGATACTCTGCAGTAACACTACCTTTAGTCTATTTTTCTAAGTTTGCTAATCTTTGATAATGAACAGTTTTCATTCAGCATTTACTTGAGAAAGTAATTCTTTCATTCCAAACTGTACCAGCATCTTCGATCTCAACAATGCCAGTTTACATGGCCAGTTTTGTTTTTTCGGTGAACCTCATTCTCACATTACAACTTCAACAACTACTTAAAAATTGGATTTTCCAGCAGCAATATCCTCGATTTGAACAAACTTTCCAGATGGGTGAGCTGTTTGGATGCATGGACACTACTGAATGAGCTAAGCAGGTGATTTGTGGTTGAACGCAACACAGTTCACTTTCAATTTGATAGCTATATAAAATCAGGTCATAGGAACATTGTCCTGTACAAAATGAGTTGCACAATATACAGCCTGACGTGTGAAACTTAAAAAAAAAATGCAGTATTACGTTGTTAAAGTATGACAAACTGATGCTATGGTAGTTAAAGCTTGTTTGGGGTCTTGGTTCTATGGGCATTGGGCGTTTAATAACACCCTAACCCAAACAGGTTAACTACAGCTAGCGTCCTCAGAGCCATCCTTTATCAGAGAACGTCTAGGAGAGGAAAATTCCATGTGGTGGAAAAGGTAATACCAATATGTGTTGTATCATATATTGGTTTGTAAATTTCTGGTAGCAACTTTTTCATCCACAAAGTGATTACTCACCAGAAGGCCTGGGGAGTTGGGGTGAGGGTGGGGGTCTGCATGTAATGCAGGGTATGTGGTCAAAGCTCACAAGCCTTGAAAAAAATATATATCAAACACTTTCACAATTTTTTTCTTTTTATTTGCGATGTTTCTTTGTCAGCATATTTATTCCTGCAAGAAAAAAGAAAATATTTACAATATTAGCATCTATCGTTTCACTTTGTGGTGTTTGATATGGAGTGCAGGGCAGTGTATAAAATACATAGTGTAGACAAACATTGGTTTTGCAGATCTAACGTATTCACCTACAACATTTCAGATGTGGTACAGGTTGCTATAGTAACATCCTTAGTAACATTTAGAGAATGGCGGAATTTCAGATTAATTAATTTTCACCTCAATCAACATTCTGTGGGCAGAGAATCGTGTACACTGGAATGCATGTTCTCCCCACAAGCATTTTATATTTCACTATAATTATACATGTTTGACATCAAAAAGACTAGAGTAATAAATAATGAATTAATTGTGCAGAAAGTGATTTACTTACTTCAGGGATTTCATAATCTCCCTCATCAATGCCTTCAATTACATCATGTGGGTGTTTGCCTTCAACAGTACATCCAACTGACTGTGCAGTGCCAAGGATTTCCTTGACAGTGCCTGATAGCTGGCGTGCCATAGAACGGGGTCTCATGATCCGTGCAATTTCAATAACTTGTTCAAGACTGACATTGCCACTGTGAATGACTGGGAAATAAAATAAATTTAGATTTACACAAATATGGGCCAGACAAACGTTTATTATTAATTTCAATGGTCCGAGTTAAGAGATAAGTAATAAATGCCACCTCGGAATATTACAAAGTTGCATGGAAGATAAAAAAAATTATTTGGTTTATAAGATTAAATTGTACAAACTGAAAGCATTAGCTAAACACTAAGTGTACAAGGAAGTCACACATTGAATAATTAAAGCAACAGGGACCAAAACCACTACCATATTTGCTCTATTGAAAATGAATCTCCATTAAAAGCTCATATAAAAATCACATTTCTATATACTGAATTATCAAAACATAATTATTTTGACCATAAAAACATTTATGAAAGAGCAAATGCAGCACTCACTATTTTTCTGCTTCTTTCTGTCACGTGGTGGTTCTTTAAGTGCCTTGATGACCAATGATGATGCGCTGGGAACTACTTCAACCTTTGCCTGTCTGTTCTGGATAATTAGCTTCACCGTGATCCTCAAACCTTTCCAGTCTCCAGTAGCTTTGCAGATGTCATCCCCAACCTTCTTGGGAGACTAGCAAGAAAAGAACAAAATACATCTTGTATTAATGTTAAACTAATTATACAAAACTGTAAATATTTTATAAAATTTTTTTTAACTTTCAAAAAAAAAATCCATCTTACCAGACCAAGAGGACCGATTTTGGGTGCTAAAGAAGAGGTAGCGCCAACTTCACCACCAGTAACCCTCAAGAAAACTGAAGAAAACAAATATACAATTAGAAATATGCAGTGGAACTAATTATTATCAGTTTGTTATTAATTACATGTAGATATCAAGATGGTGGCGATACTATCGACAGAATGCAATGTTTGCCAATGTCAGTTTTAAATTTGACCCATGTAGTGAATAGAATTTAACTGTAGAGCTTTTAAAACCCTTGAAATAACAATGACAGACAGACCTATCACGCACCCTTACACCAACGCAATCTAAAATATAAGCATACAGATTCAGTAATTTGTGAGACTACGGATGATACTACCAAAGGATTATCTCCCAATTCCAAGTTATACAGATTCGAAGATTTAGGGGAGCGGCAGTGCCTTGCTGATAGTGACCACCAGTCATCGCTGTTCAACTATATATTTCTATTTGATCACAAGATCAACATGATGTTGACGGTACACAGGCACACATGGCAGTGCACGATGTATTCCGTATTGTCCGCCATATTGGATTTCACAAACACACGACATCCATAAATTCATTAATAAAAATAAACTGGAAATCAACATTTACCCTCAGTAATAGCGGTTGGATCGAACTTGGGCGGCATTATTGTTTCTTTGTAGCTGACTTAACAGTCGATAAATTCGGTATTGGGTGTTGGATGAGCCCGATTCTGGACACGACCAAAGAGTTGCACCGTATTCCGAAATACGTGAAGGAAGAGGGCGCTTCGCGGAACGAAATTTATATTGGTTGCGTAGTTGTAGCGCCCTCTACCAACTCTCAACGACGATAGTTTTTGGCTCAAGGAATTCATCTTACTGCTTTACTGCTTGAACGCCTGGTATGAATGCAAATCTCACATATGAAAACAATTTATCTTCGAAAAAAAAA